GTATACATAGATTTTTAGAAAAAATATATTCGATTTTGTGAAGCACTTTTAGTTTTCTAAATTAAGATACAGATTATCCATATATTTTGTTGTGAGATTGATAAAAAAAATAAAACTTTTTGTTTTAGCCTGTATCTTTTTTTTTTTCAACAGGAAGTACGAGTGGAACAAACATGGGACATGTGCAGCCAAAGCAGATTCATTGAACAGTGAACATAAATACTTCAGCAAAGCACTGGAATTGTATCATAAAATGGATTTGAGCGGGTGAAGATCAATTTGATTTTTTTTTACATATTTAGCATAGAAACATCCTTATTTTCTTTTCTTACAAACATTAGTCTTGACTCAGAATCTTACATAGCTCTTGGTGTTTATGTTTCTGATCCTTGATAACTGATTTGTGATTCTTGATTGATTTTAAACATGGAGCTTTTCTTTTCACAGCCTCCTGAAAAAGTTTGATATTATCCCTTCTAACACAACCTTCTACAGTGTAAGTCTGTTTGTATTTAACATTTGATTGGAAAATTGAAAAAACAATGTTTAAAACACTCTTATCGACTGAAATCTGTCCCGTTAATAGTCTTGTGTTTTTGTTTTGTTTTTTTCTTTGCAGTTTTCACAAATTGAAGAGGTGATCCAAAATTTCTATGGCATCAAACCAAAGATCCAGTGTGCCTTTTTGAGAAAGGTATAGACAATTTCTTTCAAAAAATTATTGCTGTATTTCATTGTTTGGTGCTTCTTTAAAAAAAATTGGTTGATTTTTATAGTCTTTTCCTTTGTTGTTGACAGAATGCTGAKTACCAGACTTTGGGGCAGATTGAGATTTGCTTTGATGCGGACTTTAACCTGCTGGACTGTGAGAAACGATATATGACGGAAACAGAGTTAAAGAGAGGTTGGCAGCAACTCGATGTTAACACCTCAAGTGGATACAAAGTGTGTGACCATGACATACTAATACATTACCCACCTCAGTCATAAGCTTCACAATCAAAAGCATAATAACACACTAAACACTTTCATACACAAAACCTTGCTAATTCATTTTTTTGTTTGGTGACAAATGCAGTGTAATTTAGCATGCACACTAATTAAGGACTGATTTCATTTTGCACACAGACAATCTCTTTCAATATAGTGCTGCGTGGGAGTCATCCCACTGCTTACTTGAAACGATTTTACAGAGGACTTTTC